AGATACAAAGTTTTCAGTCGCTAATAAATGCTTCAGTCGTACATGGGTCCGTGTCTTTTCCTTGACAATAATACTAACACTATCTACATACTATGCAAATGTATTTTAGTCTGGGAAAATGGTAAAGGTAGATTTACATTTTTTAGAATGTAAAAGAATTTTTACTTCTACCTTTTTATAGTTTTACTCATTGTTCTAAAACTCGCTAGGCGCTAGGCGGGCGGTTGAGGGGCGCCTAGCGCCTAGGCAGCCGACTAGGCCGATTTTTTGGCCAACTAGGCTGATTTTTTGACCGACTAGGCCTCTACTGTTAGGGCCAACTAGGCCGCCTAGGCCGATTAATCGGTCCGCCTACGTCGATTTTTAGAACAGTGGTTTTACTGTTACCAGACCGTTGGTGGGTCCCATGGTCACCCATTGCATGTTTTATCTTAGCTGCATAATGAAAATTGTAGAGAAATTTGGGACGGTAAACTTTGCTTCTTGCAGCAGGCTCAAATTCGATTTCCTTTTAGAGTTGTGATTGACAGCCGGCTTGGAGCTGGTTAAGAGCAGCTTGGTGTTTCTATGTGAGTAAGCTTGTTAATAGCAGCCTATTGTTTTTCTGGTGAACTAACAGCAGCCTGCTGCGCGCTAAGAGTAAAATTACAAGTTAACTCTTTTTGTGTGTACCTCTTTTATTTTATTTTCTTCTTTTTGGTACGTCCTTTTCTTTTCTTTTTCTTTTTAATATTCTTTTTTTCTTTTATTCTTTTGAGTACTTTTCTTTTAATGAATTAAATATATGCAACAACATTTACAAAATATTAGAATCCAAGTGCTCAAATTCAAATACGTTACATCATCAAAATCTAAAGCGGCGCAACAATTTCCCCCCTTTTGATGATGTCAAAACTATAACAAAAGAATGAATAATTGAAAGCATGAAACAACTAATTATTTTTGGGAACCTGGATCTTGATATTCCCAATTCACTTGCCTTCACCAATCAACGTGTGATGGTGGCTGATATTGTGGCCTTGAAACTTGATGTTGCGGGTGAGGACGTTGTTGTTGTTGTTGTTGTTTTGGTCTTTGAGACTTTGACCGTGAGGTGGCCTTTGTGAGGTTTTTGTTGTTGATGTGGAGAAGACTAAAAGTTGTACTGTTGTTTTTCATTTCCTCTTTTCAGTTCTCTTTCAAGTCGAGCATTGACCTTTTCTCTTGTCTTCACAAAGTCTCCCGAAATTATGCAATCTCTCCATTTGAGAGCTAGTTCTCCTAGTTGATAGCATATGAGTGCATCTTGGGTCACTTTGTTGAGTCCCCAAAGTCCTATTTATTCATGTGACCCGCCATCATAAAATATGGTGTTGCCCTATGCATCTATTTGATCTATGAATGACTTTAGTGACCTAGAGACCTTTGGTCTTCCCACCCATGCTCTGATTTCTTCACCGTCTAGTTCCTCATAGTCATGAGGAAAACATGGAGTGATGTATCCTCCAACTGGATGTGATCCAAATGGTGCTGGTGATCTTCTATAAGAGCCTTAAGTAATTGGTGTCTTCTTTTTAGGAGGAGGTCTGGGAGCTGTAGAGGGCATGGCTTTAATGGGAGCTGTAGATGGTATGACTTGAATAGGATCTGTAGATGGTATGGCTTGACTTCTTTCCCCTTTCTGACATCATTACCCTTTTGATCATCAAAAGAGATACGGTCGGTGAAAGGAAAAAAGAACGACTATGGAGGAGAAGAGGGGTCAAAAAATGAGGTAAGCAGGACGAAAAAATTATGAAGTTAAATTTGCGTCTATCTCCTTCCATCCCAGGTCACGTTGAGCCTAATCGATAGCGCCCCCCCCCCCCCCCCCCCCCAGGAGGTCTTCGAATTAATTATGACAACTACGGACACCCCATAGAAGTCCCCAACGCAGTCATCGGCCACCCAACATCCAAAAGAAAAGAAATTGATCCACTCCAGTGTTGCTGTGTGTAATCCCCAATCAACAATCGAATAAACTATAAATAGTGACATGGAGAAATCGAGTAGAAGAAGAATAATTCATCATCATTCATCAATCGATCAATACCGTATATTCATAATGATATGGCAATAATACATGATATACGAATGATTTGTTGAGAGAGGAAAAGTAGAGGTGTTCTACGAGAATGATAAGTGCGGAATTAATCGTGTAAATGCTTAGGCTGCTCAAACCCCTCTACCTTTATTTATAGGAGAGAAGTCGAGCATTCTAGTACAAGTCGAACAGATAGGCACACATGGGCTTATTAATTAAAAAGCTTGTTTCTCTCTCAACTAAAAGCCTGTTAATACTAACACTAATTAATCAAAGATAATTACAATTAATTTGAACACAATAAATAATGTTCTAACAATCTCCCCATTTGCGTTCAAATCGCCATGTAGAGCAGATTATCTTTGAGTCTTGTATAGCGATTTTTTGTAGCCTAGAATGACTTTGTATTCTCTGATGGTTCTTCTGAATTCAAGTCGTAGGCTAATAGCAGAAGCAGAATCACCAATGAGAGCTATCTGATCTGGGTCTTCTGGATTTTCATAATTTTTGAGCTTGATGGCACATTCTTCCAGACAGTGTTCAATGATGCGTAGCGTTCTATCGCAATATTTATGAACTTCTTCCATCAGCAGGACACGTTTTTACGCCGTTGTAATATCTGCAGGTCATCCCAGGTTCAGGATCAACTGTGATTTCCTTCTTCAAAATTTTCAATCAATGGAGCAGTATTTCTCGAAGCTGTGAGATTGGCTTTGCTGCTTTGCTTAAATTGCTCTCTATTGCCATCTACAGATCAAACAATGAGTAATACTTGATTTGTCGCAGCATATATCTCTTGATGGCATTGATGTCAGTGTTCAACAACATGGACAATGTCAACCTTCAACAGCAGATCCAGCGGGCGACAATGGCCTCACCAGCGAGCAAATAGCTTGCGGCTTGGGCGACGAGCGTCAAAGAACCTTTGACGAAGGGCGACAGAGCTCCATTGACTTAGATTTGCGACACACGAAGGTCAAGACGGGTTGACGAGTCCATGGAGGAGAAGGTGCCCAGCGGGGAAGTTTTGGATGTGTTCATAAGATGACGACAGAGGGATCAAATATTGCCATCCATTACTTACAGGCATTGTTCTAAAACTCGCTAAGCGCTAGTCGGGCGGTTGAGGGGCGCCTAGCGCCTAGGCGGACGACTAGGCCGATTTTTTTGCTGACTCGGCCGATTTTTTGACCGACTAGGCCTATACAGTTAGGACCGACTAAGCCGCCTAGACCAATTTTTAGAACAATGCTTACAGGTAGGGATAGACCGGTTCCAAGCTGGACCGGGTACCGGGCCGAGCCGGGTATCGGGCCGAGCCGGGTACCGGGCCGGGTCTGACCGGTTTTTTTTTTTTTTGAAATGAGGCCTGGAACCGGCCCGGGTAGCCAGCGGTTCCGGTCCGGGCTGGTTCAATGTTTTTTTTTCTTTTGCTTTTCTATTTAACCCTTGACCTCCCCCCCCCCAAAACACCCAGCTCAACCCGAGAAAAATAAATAAATTGAAAAAAAAAAATAGGCCCAGTTCTGATTTTAGCAAGCCCGAGCCTGCCTCAAGTAATCACCGGTTCAGGCCGGGCCAGAACAATGCCAGTCCCGGGCTGGTTCCGGGTCGGACCACCCGGCCCGAGCCCATCACTAGGTCCATCCCTACCTACGGGCTGCGGAGCTATTTTCTAAGTGGCCACAGTTTGTGATACCAATGGCGGATTGAAGAATGGGAAGGAAGAAGAGAGTTAGGATTAGAGCAGAGGTGGACCCGGGCCGGTTCGGGACTGGGCCCGGCCGGGCCTCGGGCCAGAATACTGGGGCCCGAGCCCGAACCACCGGTGGCCGGTTCCGGTTCCGGTTCCGGGCCAAACCGGGCCGGGCCGGGCCATATCGGTCCTTTTTTTTTTATTTTGGTTCTCCTATTTAACCCCCTACCCCTCGCCCTCAACCCCAAACCACCCCAAACCACCTCAAATGGCCCAAAATACCTAATCCAACCCAAAACTTAAAAAAATTTCAAAAAAAATAAAATAAAATCCGGCCCGACCCGGCCGGGCCGGTTCACCTAAAGTAGGGCCCGAGCCCAGACCGCCCATCACCCGGGCCGGGCCAAACCGAACCGATGGACCCACCGGGCCCCGGGCCCCGGGCCGGGCCAAACAGTAACCAAGCCGAGCCGGTTCCGGGTCGGGACGCCTGGCCCGAGTCCACCCCTAGATTAGAGTCATGTTGATTACGTGTTGTAAGGAAAATGGTTGTGTCTGATTTCATTACCAAATGTCCTATAAGTAGGGAGAGAGAGTAGGGTTCACAAGGATGGGCTAAAAGGCTCATAATATTGAGTATTGACTCTAATACATATGCTGTATACACGATATACTACGTAAATTTCCTTCAACAATGGACAACATATATCTGCACACAAAAATTGACAATACCAAAAACATAGTACTACGTATAATTTTACACATTCAAATCATAAATAATGCACGTGGATTTGCAACGTTTAGCGCTTTAGCTATTAAGTAAAGCCCACTTATAAATCTATTTTAACTTTTTAATAGCAACAGTTTAAAAAGCTACTTCATTTCCCAAACAAATTTAAGATTTTCGACTTTACCAATTCCCATTACATCCTTACAAAAGTATATTAGGTGTAATGGGGATAAAAAGTTGGTGTAAACACTGTAAAGTAGGTAAATAAAGTAAGGGTATTAAGGGTAACTTTAAAATAAAAACTTTCTGAAAATGGAAATGAATACTTTCATTTAATACATCCAAAAAAGAAAGTGAGAACTTGTTGAGAACCAAGTATATCCCAAACACCGCCTTTGTTCTCTTATTTTGAGCAAGCACTGTTTCTTGACCTATTTGGGTATTACCAACATTTTCTTAACTCCCTAAATGGCTAAATGTAGATAACAATATCCGGCTAGATCAATTGGAGACGGACAAAGAGTAGACATTCAAACCAAATTTTACTGAGCCCATAATAAATACTAGCAAGTGTAAAGAAGTTCCGCCATAAGCTCAGAGTTTTGACAAAAAAAACAAAATTCCCATACTGGCAAATCAATTTTGGCACACTGCCAACAATTGCATCTTCACATAACACAAGTGATTTTGCTCATTTATGATACGTAATAAAAAAAAAGGTCTGCATCAGACACTCATTTGATATTGCATACGAAAAATATACCCAAACTCAAGACAATGTGGTAATTGCAGCTTAAGTAAGATCACAGGTCCTTAATGATGCATAGATTGAAGTTCACATCAGAGAAAACGCCACTCACTTTAAAGCCCCTTTACTGCTATAAAAGTACAACTTTCACTGCTACATCTCCAGACCTATAAGAACCAGATGATATACGTCCAAATATTCAAAATTCATTCAATGAAACATGATAAATAAATGATAAAGTATTTCACACGATGCAAAGTTAAAAAAATAGGGAAAAGGTGCAAATAGGCCCATGTACTAACCAAAAAAGGTCAAATAAGCCCTTATTTAGGAGACTCTGTCCGGCCGTCGTCATTTGGGGTGGTTCCTGGTGGAATTTTTTGATGAAATTTTTTGAGCATCTTTTTCATCAAGTCTAGTTTAGTCATACCAAATTTCAGCTAAAACTTCAATCGGGAAGGCATTCAAATGAATTCTTGAAGATAACCGCGCTTCTAACTGCGCAGTTATTTTCAAGAATATATTTGAATGCCTTCCCGATTGAAGTTTTAGCTGAAATTTGGTATGAGTAAACTAGACTTATTTAATAAGATGCTCAAAAAATTTCATCAAAAAATTCCAACGGGAACCACCCCAAATTACGACGGCCGGACAGAGTCTCCTAAATAAGGACTTATTTGACCTTTTTTGGTTAGTACATGGGCCTATTTGCACCTTTTCCCAAAAAAATATTAGCACCAATCACATGGAACACACTAGAATAAAATGCACCAAGACACAATTTTTTAATTATAAAGTATAGCTATATTTTAGATTTCATAGGTTGGATTAGCAAAACTGAACATACTTATTATGAACCTTCCTCAGCTTGCTCAGATTACATTATGAAGAAACACATTAACATACTCAGTTCCTTAAAACTTTGCCAACTTTCCTTTTTTTATTGTTTCACTAACTTTGCCACTTTCTCTTTTAAGTAAAAAATTTGTGGTTCCAGTTAATTGTCTATCATCTGTACAAACCCTAATCACACAGTTTTTACTTTATTAATCTCGTGCAAGTCAAACATAGCCAAGTTTTAAGGGATGGAGAAAGTAGATATTTTTTTTATTTTCAAAATTACAAAATTCACCACCTAATAGAATACTAGAATAATTATATTTATAAACATACATACATTTATGCCTTTGCCTTCAAGAGCCTAGCTTTCAGTTCATCTGCCACAGCATCAATGAATTGTTCGGTGTTCAGATATGTTTCCCTTGAAAGCCTGCATCATAATTAGAACACATTAAATTATTTGTTTTAATAACACAAGATTTGGTTATTGCATTGACAAAACTCAGACCGAGAAAATATCTATAAAAGAAAGTTAAAGAGCAACACCCACTTGGAGCCATGGATGATAAGTGCAAGATCTTTGGTCATCTTCCCAGACTCCACAGCACCAATGCAAGCTGCTTCAAGCTTCTCCGTAAAATCCAATAGTCTAACATTGTTGTCCAACTTTGCCCTGCTCAGATTTACACAATACTATCATTTTTTTATAACTACTCATTTGTGGGATTTAAAATAATCTACTTCAATGTTGTTAAGATCACGAGCTGACTCATCAGATCATCTGGTTTTACAAGTAGAAGGTGAAGATTTGGTTTTACAAGTAGAAGGTGAAGGGGCAGTCTGGATAGTAGCTGGGATCAGAAATCACATCAAGATTGCGGGATCGACAAGTTAGACCGTGAAATCGCAGACACAGTGATCTGTATCGATCTGCGTTGAATACGAGCGTAGATACAAAAAAATGGCACTCGCAATCAGAAAAGGCTCTCACGATCGGAAATGACGCGAGTTTTAAGAACACAATGAGTTACAAAGCCCCGTGTGGCACCTGCTTACATGCGCATGGACCAAATACGTACTTCTGGTTTGAAATAGTTCGAAACTCAGAACCACTCAATAAAAGGCTGGGCCTTCTTCAGTTCTGCAGGTCTGCACTTTTCATCTTCTTCTCAGAAACACAGCTTGATTCGGTGATATTCATCCATCTACTCTTCATCCCTATAGTCTCTGCCAGTCTACTTTATTTCATCCTTAAAACCTTCTGACTCTTCTGTACTTTTCTCATAACCCCTCTTCCTTAAACTCAGAATCACTCAATTAAAGGCTGAGCCTTCTTCAGTTCTGGACTTCTCATCTTCTTCTTCTTCTCAGAAACACAGCTTTGATTAGGTGATAATCATCCATCCACTCTTCATCCCTTTAGTCTCTGCTAGTCTAATTTATTTCATCCCTAAAACCTTCTGACTCTTCCGTAATTTTCTCATGTCCCCTCTGTCTTATTTCATTTACTTATCTGACTGACTCTATCTTGGGTATCACATACTGTTATGGCAAGGGGTTCTGCCAAAGTGAACAAAAAGGTTGCCGTGCTTGTATATGAAGATGTTATTTTATATTTATCTTGGTTAGTTAAGTGTTTTATTTTATATCTTTGAAAATTGACAATATGTTATTAATTAATACTAACATTAACATGAATCCGGTGAGTAAATAGAGTTCATTTTTTTCGATAGAGTTTAAAGTAGAGTTTAAATTTTATACACACACACACATGAGAATGATCATATAACTATGTAAGGTAGGCCGTAGGCCTAAGATGCACCATCTTAGGCTCTCTTTCATTTTAGGCCAAAGATGAATTCAATTATCCCAATTTCTTTACTTAACAATATCTTTAACGTGTTAAAGATAAAATTTTATAAAAAGGAAAAAACTTGTTTTAATGGTGAATTGATTTTATCTAATAAATTTGCATTTAAAGTAAAAGGAGGGTATGAGTGTCTATTTTCTTACAAATTTTAAATCTTACCGCTAAAATCAATTGTTAATACTAATGAACATATAAAATTGGACCACTAAACTCGCTAAAAATGAAAGAGCCTTAAGACTGTGCAACTTAGGTCTACCTTAATTGATAATTTTCCTATACATACATGTATATATATACATATATATAGGGGAGGGTTCCTGTGAGAACACACTCCCAAGAGAGAAAAAAGAACAAAATCTAACCATCTAATAAACTTAATCAACGATGAAGTTTTAATAGAAATGAGTGATGGCAGTGTAGTAATTAGGTGCAATTATGAAGGATAATAATTCTAATGGAAAACTAACGCAATTAGTAATAGGGGCAAAGATGTAAAATGGTGCTGTAATACAACCGTACCACTATATGCACTTCCTTAAAAATCTCATTGTTTTAATCATTTTGAACGGCTAAACTCTAACTATTCCTAAAAGATAGGGCTATCAATTATCATGCATTTAATTTTTATGAGTCATCACTTGCACATATTGTTGAAAAGTTTCATAATAATTAGGAAAGAATTGAATGACACTCATATTTTTCAAAATATGCTCTTCTATTCAATTTGGACAACAAAATCTTTTCGATCATAAATCTGTTTTTACTTTTTTACATTAATTATGCAATTCTTTATCAATTAAATTTTACAATATGGATTTGAAACATAGCATAGAATAGTTGCACCTTTATTCAAAATTTTATGCAACATCTATTAAACTGAAATTCATATATTTTCATAATAGTAGTTTCAACAATCAACACCATTTATCAGCAAAACGAATCTGATGATCAGAAATAACAGTTTTATTATATTAATCTTCACTTTTGTCAGTTGCACTTATATGTCTAGTTTGCACTTTCTATAACATTATCCTACACTTGACACATCTACTAGTGCACTTTCATACATTTTTATATATTAGAATAATATAAAATAAAATGAAAATATAAATGCAAGGGTGTGAACTAATTTAATAACTATCATGTGAACTTTAAATGTATAAAAAGTGCACTATTATATAATATTGATGCATTTTCTATTACACTTCTGATGCACTTGCAATACTTTATTCATGCATTTTTCTTTAGTTTTTAGCGTGCAATTGTAAGGATGCAAATTTTATCTAAATTTACTTGTTCATGTATGTGTGAGTCAATATGTGCACTTTTCACTAATTATAAAATGAACTCTTAGAGTATAATTCAGTGTTTTCAATCCCGGATAGCGGAGCGTAACGGCAAGCCCCGAAAACGCTATAGCGGTATAGCAGATAGCGGGATGACCGCTATTTAGACTACTTACAAGTATAATAGATAAGTAACTACTGGAAGCATATACTCTGTATAATACATTACATACACATTTTGAATTCAAAAGGTATGATATATGCCAATGAAGCCATGAAGTTGGCAAACATTTAAGTCATAACATTCATAAATCGTAAACTACTTAGAAATACTCTTTAGTTTTATGAGCAAAACATAAGATGATATTAATGACAGTAGACTCCATACGATATGATAAAGAACTTTGTTGTACAAGATGAATAATGAGAAGAAAAGAAGACTGCAACAAAGGTTAATCTTCTTGTAAAAGATGTTGCAGCAGAAGTAGAAGAATGAAGGAACTCAAGAAGATGAAGCATCAGATTCTACCAGTGGAAATAAGCCAAGAGGAGTGCAAAGGTTGTCGTTCTTGAAGGTGATCTCATCGCAGAGCAGAAAGAATAAGATACGTTTGTATGCGTTTGCACTTCTACTCACGTGCGGAAGGGTTTTAAGTGGTTAATATCTTATTTTAAAAGTCAAAATTACCCTTCTAGTTCAACAGGAAGTAAATAATACGCAGATACTTCCGTCGATCGATTGTGCGGCTATAGCGTCCGCCTTCATCGGAATAGCGCTCCCGCTAATGCGGCCGCTATATCCGCTACACCCAAACGCGACGCTACAGGTACTCTGGTAGCGCCAACCTTGACCTCCACTCAGCAATACCGCTATAGCACGCGATAGCGCCGCTATTAACATCACTGGTATAATTTATATGCACCTTTCTTCTTTAACGATGCAATTAAATATTTGATTAGATGCACTTTTACGTAAGAATGAAGATATAAATGTAACAAGTGCGTTGTTCATCACATAATCGTGAAATTGTATTTTGGTGCAAAATATGTATATCAAAGATGCATAATTACAATAATAAGATATCTCTATATTCATGATACTGATTAATAATAATATACAGTATGCAAATGAAAATAAAGTCACACAAAATGATAAAAATTATAATAGCTGTAAAAGAAATTAAGTGGGCCAAGACGTGCAATATGATGATAAAGTACAAAAATTATAAGAGAAATTTAACTTAAAGTTTAATACGTATAGGATAAAAAAGAAAAAAGAAAATATTATGCAGTTAGCTAGAAACAAAATACTATGCAGTTAGCTAGTTATAGGTAAGATAAAATAATAGAAGGAAACTAAATCAGCGAAAGAATAGGGAGGTATGGAGGGCCGCTTCAACTGGAGGAGCTAAATAAGGAAAATGTGTGAAATGTCATATTAGCCCAAAGAGTATAACCGTAACCTTCCCTATTTCTAGGTTAATCCAATGGTTGATATCTATTCTTTTTTGCTCTCCTAAGATTAAATTCTCACATGAACCTAAATCTATATATATATATAGGGGAAAGATCAAGTACAAACTGTGCTTATTGTGCAAATATTTGTACGATGCACCTTAACGTTCTTTGTATTGCATATTGAGGTTCAAAGTAGTGCATATTATTCAGCCATAAAATAGTAGTTGCACATTAACGTTCAATGAGTTGCACCCTAAAAAAGTTGGGTTTTATTACAAAAATGTCACCTTGCCTTTATGTCCTTTGGATCAACTCATCGGATGGTCAAGATGAGTTTGTACTTTGTAAATTAAGAAGAGTTTGTATTTGATCTCTATTCTATATATATATATATATATATATATATATATATATATATCTTTTATATAAATATATATATAATTATATATATATAAGATATATATATAATTATATATATAAGATATATATATGCATGGTTGCTTGATTCTAGGATCTTACAATCTGAGTTACAATCCCCGAGTTATGATCTCCTAGCACCATTCTAGGATGCACCCCGAGTTATATAAATGCACCATTCTAGGATGCACCCCGAGTTATATAAATGCACCATTCTAGGATGCACCCCGAGTTATATAAATGCACCATTCTAGGATGCACCCCGAGTTATATAAATGCACCATTCTAGGATCTCGAGTTTAACAACCTTGCTTCACTTAACTAAGGAGAATAGATGGACATTTATGCAAAAGAAAATGCAATTTGCATTGGTTATACAAAATGACTTATATTTAAGATCACCTAATATTTCCTTATTTATGATACCAAAAGGAGGTAATACATTTATGTTTGTGTGCGCATGTTTAAATCTATAAGGCTTGGACTACGGCCAAACTCTTTTGAGACTAAGGCTTGGATGTTGTGTTTAAATCTATAAATGTGTCAGGTTTGGGAACATGTGGTAATGCTAAAATCTAGTTGAAGCGGGTTTGGGTACGGATTTTTGCTAAATGGGCAAATGGCCGACCCATGGTCATCCACTACTTTTAACTTTTGGGTAAGAACATAATGAATCGTACATACCTGTGAGCCAGACCACGGGTCCAAGCAAATATGGAGGCAATGCTGTTTGTGCTGGTTTCACCACCCTTCTGGTGAACTCTATAGTGGCGTGTAACAGTTCCATGTGCTGCTTCGGCCTCTATGGTTTTTCCATCCGGGCAGAGCTATAACAAATCCATAAATGTTTTAGAGAGTAAGATGTAACATTAAGCTAAATAGTAATAATATTTAATAGTAATAATAATGATGAAATAAAACTTAAAATGATGATGATGATGACAACATTAATAAATGATAAAAATATAGATGTAATAAGCTACTTTAAAACTAAACCTTCACAATGATAGCGATTAACTTGAGCTGAAAAGGAGGTAAACATTGTGATTGAGTCGCTTAAATTTGCAACTTTAGCAATGAGCTCTTTCTTATTTAAAGCAAGGGAGACATATTAATGTATTGTTGGAGTCTTGGAGAGACAATATTCGTGTGGAGGATTGATCTCTTTTCATCTTTTTTTATCCTTTTACGTTTTTACCTTTTTATCTTTTTTATCTTTCTTATGTACTTTATCCTTTTTATCTGATATTTTTAATCTTTTTTATCTTATCATTTCTATATCTATCTTATATTTACTTTTACTTATCTTTATCTTACTTTTTTATCTTGAGATGTTACCTTATATTCTGTTAGCCAAGCCCAAACTCTTTTGGGACTAAGGCCAAGGTTGTTACAATTGTATTTTTAGATTGAATGGTATAAGGATTTGTAAAACGAATCGGAGATTCGGATCATAAATCGTAAGATTTTATAAAAAAACATTAGGCAATAATTATTAAAAGGCTAAAGGATCAAATAGACCCTTGAACTAATTTGAAAAGTGCAATTCATCCAATTGGGGCGGTTCCCGGTGGAATTTTTTGATGAAATGTTTTGAGCATCTTCTTCATTAAGTCTAGTTTACTCATACCAAATTTCAGCTAAAAATTCAATCGGGAAGCCGATCAAATGAATTTTTGAAGATAACTACGCAGTTAAATAGTGCAGTACATTTCAGAAAATCATTTGACTGTCTTCCCGGTTGAATTTTTATCTAAAATTTGGTATGGGTAAACTAGACTTAATGAAGAAGATGGTAAAAAAATATCATTAAAAAAAATACACTGGGAACCGCCCCAAATTGGTGACGGGCAAACAGAGCTTCCTATATAAGGGGTGAATTGAACTTTTTAAGTTAGTTCGAATGCCTATTTGACCCTTTAGCCTTATTAAAACTATTAGATAAAAGAAAACTCAAAATTTAACTTTAACAAGTCCAATCATAAATTTAAATCTTAAGATGTTGTCTTAAACAAAGAGCACAAAATGATTATAAATTAATACTGTTTAACTTTTAAAGATTCCAACAAATACATATGATGTTTTAATATCAAATTTCATACTACCTCCGTCCCAAAATACTTAGCCGAATTAACAACTTTGACCAATTATATATATTTATTAGATTAGAAATTATTTATAATATAAAAATTCTTTGTTAAAAGTACTTTCATAGAAGTATAAAATTTCTAACTTTCATAATATGATATTATTCAAAACCATGGTCCAAATTTTAAGATTTGGCCAAGTATTTCAGAACGGATGTAGTAATATATATGAGTGGTGAAAGTACATGTATATAATAGTTGAAATACTATAGTAATCTTGATAGTTCAAAAAAGATTAATACATACTACCTCCGTCCCATTTATATTGGGACGGAAGATGGTGGCACGGTTATTAAGAAAAGTGCGTTTGTGTGGTTGATATTAATTGATAAAGTAAAAATAAAGTAAGAATGATTTATAGCCACACAAACTTTGCCAAATATGGTATGAGACAATTTAAGTGGGACTTCCTGAAAAGGTAAAACGGGACAATATAAATGGGACGGAGGGAGTAGTATTTAGTATAGTTAAATTAGTAAACTACAGCCATTGATATGCGAAAGGTGCAGGCCTGCAGGTTACAAATGGCACACTTCTTTTTTAAAAAAATCCTTTGTTATACGTAGTACTCCTGCAGGTTTCTCACACCAAAAAGAGAGGGTGATTTCCCCTCTCTGTTGCCTTATAAAAGGTTGAGCTTTGTTCGCTACAAGCAAGCAACAATTTCTAAGAATTGTTCCTGACCTGATGAAAATGGGTCGTGCTTGATCTGGGCAATGCCTCTTAGTCCAGTCCATGTAACTTGAAATTGTGAAATCGTTGGAAATCACGAGTTACAACGGGTTTTTTATTGTTTAACGATTTTGGGCAATTATTATGAATTCCGATCCAAATCAATTTTTATGAATTCCGATTTTATACACGATTTTGAATCGTAAAATAGTACTCCCTCCGGCTCGCTTTCCTTTTTTGGCAGTCCCAAAAAGAAGTTCCCCTTTCCTTAAATGACAAGTTATTTACATCAAAACAGTGCAAAACAGTACCAAACAGTGTCAAAACAGTGTCAAAATAGTAAAATTTACCCCCTTGTAAGTTTATTTCCTTAATATGTGTAGGTCAAAGCGGGAACATCTTAACGGGACGGAGGGAGTACGATTTTCCGATCCAAACCGCAATTTTGATAACCTTGACTAAGAGTATAAGACTTGGATGTTGTTGTTGTAGAGACATATTAATGTACTTTGAAACTTACCAATAAAGTATTAGAATTGACTTAAAGCAAAAATGAGAAGGGGTAAATTAATTTTAGGCTTTCAGCCCCCTAAAAATGCAACTTTGGCAATTCTAATCCTTCCTTTTGCAATGGCTGTTAACGTTCTAACTAGGAGAACTAAAACGGCCACAATGATATGCAACCAGGGATGATTTTGATTTTTGAAACGGGTAAATATAGTGGTGCAGAGTTACTAGAGTTGCATAACTGAGGGAAGTAGGGAACACAAATGCACCTTATCCATACAAACAAAAATGAACTTATGTAAAATTACAGGTGAAAGGTCCAATTAGTAAGAGATTAATGCCTATTTTTGTTTAAAAGGTCTATCCGATTGATTTTTGGACAACTAACTACACATCTTACTAGTTTTTACCAAGAGGTCTATTTAGATATTTTTTTACATGAATACATGATTTCCCTTCTAGGGTTTATTTAGCTAGCTCATATAGGATTTAGTTTATCCCTATTAGGATATATTAAGCTCTTTTAGAGTTTAGTTAGCCCTATTAGGGTTTAGTCAGGCCATCTAGGATTTAGGTTTTCGCAAAGAGTTCAGGTTTTTAGTAACGGTTGAGGCAACAACAACATGGGTGTTTGCAGCGGCGATCTATGTGGTTGCTGCGGCGGAATCAATCTACGCAGCAGCAGTGGTTTAGTGTTTTAGCATATTAGTGTTTTAACTACTAAAGTGGCAAACCATTAAACTTTTATTGGTCTTTTAAAACTTATTTGATCGTATTACACAAAATATGTACCTGTTAGTAAAAAAGATGTGCATGTTTCAGTTGGCACTTTTTCTAATAAATGCACCTTTTGGTCAAACCTCTAAATTATGTGATATGCTGGAAAACCGAGCAATAAAAAATAGAACAAAAAACTACAGTCACAGAGGATATATATAGTTAAAAGTGCAGCATACCAGGACAGATGTCATCAGACCAAGAGATCCAAAGCCTATTTTGAAAATAAAAAAATTGAGAAGATCAGCAACCTATCAGGACATCAAAACTAAAAAAGGGACAAGCACTAACATAAAACATTTCTCATTACAATCCAAAAGGTTTGAATAAAAAATGTACCTAAAAGGCTAAAACTATCATTAGAGGCAACTGAGACGAAACATCAATTCCAGCATACCTTGAGCTAGGAAATCACTCTGAACATCCCCATCATAGTTCTTGCATGCCCAGACATACCCACCGTCACTCTTCAATGCGTAAGCAACCATATCATCTATAAGACGGTGTTCATACCTATGACATTAATAGAAATGATCAGTCAAACTAAAGATACAATGCACAGCCAAGTACACCTCATGAGAAAAGTACTCCATGTCCCTAATTTATTTCTCAGATTTACTTTTCATCATTAATAAATTCAAATCGTGTGGTTCAGATTTACTTCGAAAGGAAAAAAATTACACCACACAATTCTTTGCTTAAAAGGGAATAGAAAAGAAAGAAAGCAATACTCTCACCAAATTCCAGCCTCTACAAACTTTGATTTCCATTGAGCTTCGTAGACTTCTTGAAATATATCCTTGAACCTTCATGACAGAATATAAAACTTAAGTAGAAGGAAGAGATTAAAACATCAAAAAAGAGTAACAAGTAACCTAAACAACAGTAAGAATTAAGCCGAATTATAATTTTTTAAGAGAAGTACCTTCCATCATATTTCTTAAGAATAGTATTCTTTGTACTGAGATATAGGGGCCACTTCTTTTCATATGCCATGTTCATCGAAGCTTCAGCAAAAGCATGAATAGACTACGAAGTATAACGAAACAGTATCTTATTAGTTTAAGTACATATAAAATGTCATGTCCGATCCAGTAGAAATCACTTAAAATGAAACAACAACAACAACAACAACATTCAAGCCTTGGTCCCAAAAGAGTTTGGGTGAAATCACTTTAAATGAAAACAAGAAAAAGAAGAAACAGAGAGGGCTATAACTCCTATAAGCAAACCTCATCAGTGTTGTACATGGAAAGGGCAACTCCACCAGCTCCAGTGAAGTTGAAAACCTCAAACTCTGTCTTTTCATCCTGCTTTCCTTCCGGTACTGGAAGAAGAAATCACAACTCATTAACAAAGTATGTCTGTTAACTACTGGAACAGTTAAAAAGAAAACAAAAGTAGATTCATGCATTCAAAATTTTATCATTACAGATATGTAGAGCAAGCAAACTGAAAATAAATTACTGAGTACTATTCAGAAAAAGAATTTACCGAACACCAGTTTGAGTTTTCCAGCTCCTTTAATAACTGTATCAGTTGCTCTGTACTGATCACCAAATGCATGTCTACCAATGCAAATTGCTTTATTCCAACCTGATGAAACAAGATATAACTTGCACACTTGAGGAACTGAGAAGAGAAAAACATGAACTTTGAAGGGTCTTGAATATAGTACTTGGGACAAGGCGGGGAATGTTCTTGCAAAGAATTGGCTCCCTGAACACAGTACCTGCACAGAAAAGCCCAAAACGCACCATCAATAAGCAGTAGAGTAATTTTGAATTACTATGCAACAAACATCATCAAATAGGAGTATACAAAATTACCATTCAAGATGTTCCTAATTGTTCCATTTGGACTCTTCCACATCTGTTTCAGGTTAAATTCCTTTACACGGTCTTCATCTGCAAAGACCATTAACATTGCATCAATTCTAAACACAATGCCATCAATCAAACATCCATGAGTATGCAGACACTAACCTGGAGTAATGGTTGCACACTTGATAGCTACATTATACCTACAAATACAAAATTACAAAAAGTAAACACAAAAACATGTGCAAAAGAAGGTTCATACGGGCAGTGTCAATTGTGCTCATATACCAATTTGATATAAAATGTGAAGGTAACACCATGAATTGACCATAATTTCATCACATCATATGCCTTTATTAATTTGAAGTTGAGTGGGAAAAAACTTCATACATACTTCAGGGTAGCTTCTGCACTTTCAACTGTAACCTTATCATCTGTGGTATCACGATGAGGAAGACCAAGGTCGAAGTACTTTATATCCAACTCCAGAAATGGCAAAATGAGCTAAAGCGCAACATGATATGAGTAATTCAAATTTTATTACCAGCAAAATCATATTCATTGGATAGCAGATGAAATGCTGCGTATAAAAGTATGAGCAATATAAAATTGTTACCTTGTCCTTGATTGATTGCCAAATAACCCTGGTCATTTCATCCCCTAGTTATAAAATGTTGAATAAAACATAATAAGACAAATGTGCATTTCTGTTATTGAAAAAAATCAATATTGAAAAAGCATATTGAATATATATGTGTCATGTGTGTCTGCCCGAGCTCACATGCACATTTATAAATAGCTCGAGAATTAAGCTGAATATTGAAAATGCATAGTTCCAACTAAGATCAACATGAAGAGACCAGATTTCAATTTGAGAAACTTGTTAGATAGACTAATCAAAACGAGAAGCAAAAGGAGATGAAAAGATGTCCTCTTTAAAGATATCCGTATCATTCTCACATGTGCCCTACAGGATACAACGAGTATATATCTGCCAAAAGTACACAACCAAATAAACCCAGTGGAGAAACACGGATACTGTCCCTAAGTATCACGAAAAACATTGTTCCATCCGGCGTATTTTAAAAAGACTTCTCGTGCGATAAAAATAGTGATTCATAGCAGAATATCGATACGTTACACGATTTGCAGAGAAAAAACACGGAACTAAAACGCCCTAACACAGATCCTAGTGAAGCGAAAATAGATAAATAAACAGGTGGGAAAATGAAAAGTGAAAGTCCTGAACAGGGATCTAACCGTCCATCTCGACGATGGGGTTGGCAACCTTGATCTTTTGGAAAGCCATTCCCGTTTGATCAGTGATTTAAAATCAAGCTACAGTGAGAAATGCGGGGATCCAAGAACTAATTTCTGCCGGCGTGGAGAGTGAAGAACGGAGAAAGGATGGGAGTGGTTGAGGGCTGTGGGAAGGTAAATTATACCATACAACCGGCTGTACTGTGCTCACCGTACAGCCGGGTATTTTTGAAATTATATAAAACTTCGGGCTTGAAACGTAGCAGCTGCTCCCTGCCATCCTTCTATTTTTCCTCCGTTTCCGTCGGTTCCTTTCTTTCTTTTTTCCTCCGTTTCAGTCACTCACTTCGATTCCTCCTTTTGTTTTGTTTCTTCTGTACGTTGCTTTAATCGTAGTAGCTGCTCTTACTTGTTAGTTGTTCTTTTCGTTTTTTTTTCTTTTTTCATTTTAACAATTGTTTTGCTTTTTTATTGATGAAAATGTTATTCAAATAATATAATATAAAATATTATTTAATGTTGGAGTTTTTTTTCAATCAACCTTCAGACTTATTTTTTTAATTTATGTATTATAAAATATTTTATATATTAATGCTTTATTTTTCTATTTTTAATTTAGGATGTATATTTATTTGTTTATTAAATATTACGTACTACGTAGTATAAGCTAATTACTAACATGAGTTTTGTGTTATACAAAAGTGAGTATAGTGTAAAATAAATATGTATGGGTAAGTATTATAAAAAGAACCCGATTATATTTGTAATTAAAGAACAAAATACTACGGAGTATAAGTTTTTTTTATTTAAAATTATTATATTTCCCATTGTAAATCAAATTATTTTCAACTCTCATTTTGTAAGTTACATATGTTCATCTGATACTGATTTTATGCTCATTTTAAAATATCATATTAATACACATTTCAAAAGTTTCATATTAGATTCGCATAAAAGATCAGAGTTAGATTATATAAATGGGAGCAGAGATCATGATACCCAATTACATGCTTCAGATACTCAATAAAGAAGGGTTGACATTCAATGAAAATGTTTTGATGCTCAACTAACAAAGATTATGATTTTCATATCATTGCTCATTTGGTGAGTTATGTATGCTCATTTGGTACTGATGTTATGCTCATATTTGAATATTATATCAATACATATTTCAAAAGTAGCATATTACATTAGATTCAAGTAGGAGTTAATTACAGATACGAGAGCACATACCATGATACTCAATTGCATGTTTCTAATACTCGATAGATGAGATTTGATGGTCAACGAAAATGTCTTGATGCTTGGCCAACTAAAAAACTTATGATTTTCTAACTAATGCTCATTCTATAGTTTACGAATGCTCAATTTGTACACAATTGCACGCTTCTAATACTCAGTAGATAAGGTTTAATGATCAATGAAAAATGTCTTCATGCTCAACTAACACAGCTTATTATTTTCATATTAATGGTTATTTGTTAGCTACATATACTCAATCGGTAATAATCTTATGCTTATTTTTAAAATGTCATATCAATGCATATTTCAAAAGTATCATATTACATTATATTCATATATTAAACTTCATAGGAATTGATTGTAGATATAATTTAATAAGTTTATATAAAAGAAAGTGAATTGGAAGATATGAAACGGAGATTACGATGCTCAATATTATTTAGACTCCTAAAATTTAACAGAATAGGTCTAGTGCTAATTAAAAGTTCATTAATTCTCATTTAATAGAACCCGTTATTTTCATCTTAATATAGAAGGTTTGATGCTCAATGAAAATGTCATGACGCCCAACTAACAATCCTTACAATTTTTATGTTTATGTGCATTTTGAAAGTTGCGTATGCTCATTTGATACTGATATTATGTTCATTTTTAAAATGACATATCAATGCATATTTCAAAAATACCATATTACATTAAATTCGCATATTGAAGTTTATAGAAGTTGCTTATAGATGTAATTTAATGAGTTTTTGTAAAAGATAAAATAAGAAAAAAAAAGTGAATTACAATATATGAAATTGATATCACAATACTCATTATTCAACTCTTAATACTCAGTAGAATACGTCTGGTGCTCATTAACAGTGTATTAATGCTCATCTAACGAAAACCACGATTTTCACTCAAATTATGAAAATGATACCGTTTTTTAGTTGTGATATCAACTTTCTTGTAATAACATATGGTACTCATTATTAGACGCTTAATACTCATTAAAATTGGACTATTGCTCATTAACAGTACAGTAATACTCATTTAGCAGAAATCACAATTTTCACATTAATTACAAAATTGCCACCGAATTATTTTGTTATTTTTCTCTTGGGCCTGTTATTGGGCCGGCTGTACGGTGCCCACCGTACAGCCGGTTGTATAATATACATACTCCTGTGGGAAAGGAAGAAAAAGAGAAGAAAGCCACCGATTTTGAGCGCCTTAAATTCGTAAATTATACCGTACCACCGGCTGTACGGTGAGCACCGTACAGCCGGGTATTTTTGAAATTAAATTCAACCTCAAGCCCAATAGATCCTTCGGCAACCACCATTGTCCAGTTCAGTCCTCCGCTTAATTCGTTGCCTTCTCTGGTTCTCCTTGGCCCTGGATTCAGCGTTTCCACATACGAATGGCGGTAGCCAAAAGTCCAAAACGACGGTAGGGTAGTCGCAAAGCTGCTGCAGTTGTGGGAGAGGTCTTCGCCAGGCGCTTCATCAAAGTAGAGGGAATCGATCAAGGTAGAGGGGAAGTGGAATCCAAGAAGAGCTTCAAGGACCGCACACCTTTGACCTTCAGACTATTTACCTTCCCATATCGCACATGTTGTAAAGACTGCAGTGCCTAATGTTTATGTCGGCTACTTTTATATTAAAAAAATTGTACTTTAGCATCGTCTTCACAAAATGCATAAGAAAATTTTAATACTATAGTATTGATTGAATTAGAATTGAAATTATGAGCATAGTAGATATTTCAAATGAATTTTTTAATGCTCATTTCGTAATTATGTATACTCGTTTGATATTAATGCAGTACTCATTTTAAAATGTCATATTCATGCACACTTCAAAATGAGTTTTATGTTAAACTCAAATGAGTATAACGCCCAAAATGTATGAGCACAGACAAATGAGTTTTTAAATCTTTTGATACTCATTTTGTAAGTTATGTATGCTCATTTGATACTGTTTTATGCTCATTTAAAAATGTTTCACATTTCAAACGCATCATACTATATTGGATTCAGATACTTAAATAATAAACGAAAAAATAATAAAAAGAAATTGAATTTGAAGATATGAAGCACAAATCACTGGTGCTCATTGTTAGACCCCTAATACCCAAAAGAACAGACTTGATACACATCACAATCACATAATGAAAATCACTGGTGCTTATAATTTCAAGTAATTTCAAGTTAATGCTCAATGAAAACGTCTTGATGTTCAATTAAAGTACTTAAGATTTTCATATTAATTCTCATTTTATAAGTTATTAAGATCAGCGGGTATTCATGTTATGCTCATTTGTAAAATGGCATAACAATGCATATTTCAAAAGTATCATATTGCATTAAATTCGCATACTGAAGTTCATAAGAGTTGATTATAGATATACTTAATCAGTTTTTATAAAGAAAAAAATAAGGAAAAGAAAGTAAATTTGAAAAGATGGAGCAGAGATCACGATGCTCATTGTTATGCTTTTAATACTCAACAAAATATGTCTCATGCTCATTAGATGTGCTTTAATGCTCATTTAGTGCAAGACGCGAATTTCATATAAATTACAAAAATGCCACCGGCTGTACGATGCTCACCGTACAGCCGGCTGTACGGTATAGGCTTCCCCTTAAATTGGGGGATTATTACTCCAACCTTGGGAGGTACTCTATTTTGTACCCCAATTTGTACCTCCAATCTATTTGTGTGGCTCACAAAAGTCAACTTTAATAAATGAATTGCTCCACTTTAATGAGTTGCTTTTGTGAGCCACAAAAATAGGGTAGACGTACAAATTGGGGTACAAATTGGGACACCTCTAGCATTTTTGTTATTACTCCCTTATTATACGACTTTCTTTCGAGTGTTTCCACATTCTGACCTTTCCACCCACGTGAATAATACGTAGTATGGTATTGGTATCCGTAGGGGCAACTCAGGCTAAGGTTATTTATTTTTAGGAAATTGGGAATGTTTGGATCTGATTCTTAAAATTGTGTTTGCTCTTTCACAGAGCAGAAGCAAAAATTGAAGTATTTAAATAAAAGTGAATAAATGATTCTGTTGATCTAATTTACTTCTAAAATCAATTTTTCTGGAAGTTGAGGGAGACCAGCTTTTAAAAAGTGAATAATAAAGTCTGTTCATCCTTATCCATTCCTTTTTTATCCATTAAGAAGAAAATCATTGCAATCTACATATATCTCACCATTTAAAAAAATGTTTCATTGTATACGAAGTACTAATGACCAACCTGTCCATGCATTTGAGCTAGGTGTGGTTTTAGTCAATGCTTCCGCAAGAATATTCAGATCAAGGGGATTCTTTTATTCCTTTATTTTTGGGTGGGGTGGAGAAACTCGTCTTCTCGTGATCTTTTATAAATGAAATTACACTTAAACTGTTTGAGAAAATTTGATGATGTTTGAGAAAAAATTAATTTTGAAAGTGAAAGTTAGTAGTGTTTGGTAAAATATGTGTTTTTTGTGTAATAGAAAAAGTAAAAAACAGTTTCCAATTTTTAAGTTTTTAAATATAAGTAGAAGTTGTCACTTGAAAATACTCATTTCAGTTTTTTTTAAATCAAAAACTGAAAAGTACTTTTTTAAATTGTTTGTAAGCATACCCTAATAATCTCTATTAGTGTTCATTATCAAGTGGTCCTAACTTAGGTGGGCTTTTTCTAAAAATAGTCGTCGTGACTAGTTATTGGTTAGCAAAGTAATAAAGCACGACCAAATTTAGAACTCCTTCTCCCTGTCGTAAACGGTCATATTTCATCTTATCAGTTCATTGAATGAAACTGAATGTGATCTTCCTTACTTCCACTTCGTTGTTGTTAACTTTCCCCTACACCACACCCAATGTTGCGCAATCTCCCTTTCATCGTTCTTCCAACTGTGAGTTCCACTCGGAAAAGTTCGTATGCATCACTTGAAGGGTCCCAGAGCTTAATTGCGACCATATAGATAAAGATTAAGTTTTATTTTTTTATT